CATTCCTAGGCGGGTGAATTCCAAAAGATATATAGACTGTATTCCACATGAATCTTGCCAAAATACAATCACAGAAAAGGTGTTGAATTGATTCGTTAGAATCACAAAAACAACACTTAACATTACCCTTCTATTTCCTTTTGGCTAAATTATCCTTTGTTAAAATTACTCCATTCTTTAAGTACCACAAGAAAATTTTAATTTTTAGTGGTATTCTGAGTTTCCAAATCATGTCCTTTTTAGGAACGACTTCCCTGTACATGATTGCTTTGTGCATTGAGTTAACTGAGAAACGCCCATTCTTTTGTATCTCCCATAAAAAGGTATCATTCTGCTCGGTCAATTTTATTGATATAACCTTTGAGACCACTTCCAACCAAGCTTTTAAATTATGACCCACAATAGCCCTCCTAAAGGACACTTTTAGAGGTCTTTTACTCATAACCACTGCCACTGATTCATTCTTGTTTATTACAAGGTTGTATAAGGCCGGTAACAAGCAGCAAAGGGAGTATTCCCGTTCCATTTATCCTCCCAGAATCTGACCTGAGTCCCATTGTGCACTTTTAATGATCCACAAGAAAGGAAGATGTTCTTAACCATCATAAGTCCTGACCAGAAATGAGAATCCCCTGGTTTTTTCTCTACATGAGTCAAAGTTTTCTTAGATAGGTATTTCCTTCTTAACAAGTTTTGCCAAACTCCCTCTTCATTCCAAAGTTTATATAACCATTTGCTTAGCATGCATTTGTTTTGTAGTTCTAGGTTCTGTATCCCAAGACCCCCACATTCCTTTGGCTTGTATAAAATGCTCCACTTAGCCCACCTATACTTCTTCTTATGTTCTTCACATTGCCAAAAGAAACATGACCTATAATAGTCCAGCTTCTCGAGAATACCTTTAGGTACCTAAAAAAAGAGAGCATGAACATAGCCAAGCTGCTAAGCACCAAGTTTATCAACACTAATCTACCACCTACCGATAGATGCTTTCCTTTCCAAGTACTCAATTTTTTCTGAATTCTCTCTTCGATTGTAAGCCAATCTTTGTTTGACAATTTTTTGTGATGCATTGGGATCCATAGATATCTAAATGGATACCTACCGGAACCGCAGCCAAACAACGTGACATACTCTCTCTCCACTTCCTTAGCCCTACCAAAACAGAACAATTCACTCTTGTGGAAGTTGATCTTTAGACCCGCTAACCTCTCGAATGTATTTAGTACAAGTTTAAGGTTTTTGGCTTCTTCTAGATCATGTTCCATAAAGATGATTGTATCATCTGCATATTGCAAGATAGATAGCCCATTATCTACCAGATGCGGTATCACCCCATGAAAGCTCCGTCGTTCATTTGCCCTTTTAATCAAGATTGCTAACATGTCAGCCACCAAATTAAAGAGGATCGGCGATAACGGATCCCCTTGTCTTAAGCCTTTTTTTGTTTGAAAGAAGTTTCCAGCTTCATCGTTCACCTTAATTGCTACACTACCCCCTCTGACAATCTTATCTATCCACCGACACCAAAGTGGTGAGAATCCTTTCATTCTCAACGTCTGTTGGAGAAATCTCCAGTCTACTTTATCGTAAGCTTTTTCAAAGTCGAGTTTAAAAATTACCCCATCATTCTTCTTCTTATGCATTTCATGAATTGTTTCATGTAAAAGAACCACACCTTCCATAATGTTTCTTCCTGGTAAAAAGGCTGTCTAAGAAGGTCTAATGACTTTTTGAGCTACTAGAGCTATTCTACTAGCCATTACCTTCGTGAAAATTTTGAAACTCACGTTCGACATGTAGGTCTGTACTGCTGAATTTGCTTAGCATCCTTTTGTTTGGGTAATAAAGTTATTGTACTAAAATTCAAACTATGCAGCGGCAACTCTTCTTTGTAAAAGTCATTAAACATGGCCATTAAGTCATCTTTAATGACCTCCCAAAACACTTGAAAGAACTCCGCAGGAAATCCATCAGGACCCAGAGCCTTATTGTGTTCTATTTGGAAAATAGCATGTTTTACTTCTTGTTCTGAGAATTCCTTTGTTAGCATTTCATTTTCCTCACTCGAGACTTGAGGAATGTCCTCTTTTCTAGACTCCATCATGGAAAAATTATTTTTCTCTAGGGGTCCAAAAAGGTTTTTATAATACAGTACCTTGTAATGTACTTCCTTAGTTGTACATCACCTTTGATTATACCCTCCTCTTCTCCTCTTGTTCCAACTGAAAAATTCGGGTTTTCCTATGCTTTCCATTAGCTATCATATGATAATATCTTGTATTTTTATCTTCCTCCACAATTTTCTTTGTTTTGGCCCTTTGGTACCATTTTATTTCTTCTGAGTAAAATTTGCAACCCGTTTTTTTTATACTCATATTTCGATACTATTTTAAATGATAAATGATGTTAGTGGTATTAGTGTCTGAGCCTACCTCAAACGCTTGACATATAGGGCCATAAAGTTCCCGCGGACGATGAGTACATTTGCTTTGAACTTGTCATTAGTTATATATCTAATCAATTAACTATGCTATAAAATTATATTTTCTTTCATATTTTATAATTTCTGTCAACGCACGGGCTTCGATCTAGCTAGTATATAAATTATATAATAAATTGGCTGAATTTTGTAGGATGATTTAATGCATTCATTTTCATTTTGTGTGTGTGAGAGAGAGAGCAACTTTATGAAATTTTTATGTGTATAGGATCATATAGATATTTTTTTATTTACTCATTTGTTTACTCACATCTAATTTATTTTGAGAAAGTTGATCTATACTACTTTACACTCCTCTGTTTTTTAACAGACGACACCATCGACTTTGGAGTACATGATGTTTGACCATTCATTCTATTAAAAGATTATATAAATATAATTTATTTTGTTATGAAATGTTTTATCATTAAATAAAGAGTAAATTTCACAAACTTACATATATTTTGATCAAATTATCACAAAACTACAGATTTAACACTAAATTTCTCACAGAGCTACAGATTTAATGTGGAGTATCGTAAAACTACATATTTAGTAACAAAAATTATCATAAAACTATAGGTTTAGTGATAATTTAATCACAAAACTTACATGTTTATAACTCAAACATAATGCTAGTGTTAAGGATTTAAACTCTAAAATCTGTAGTTTTGCGATGCATCACTTTAAATCTATATTTTTATGATAAATTTAGCGCTAAATCTGTAGTTTCGTGATACATCACAACTTTTTTTTACACTACTTTTTTTTCAATAAGATGAATGGCTAAACGTTATTTTAAAAGTCAATAACATCATGTATTACAAAATGTAGTAGAAAGCAGGTTGTGGTGGTGGCAATGAATTTGTCACCACCACCTACTTCTATATTGTATTTTGCAAACTCACCTTTAAACCTCTTAATTAGTGTTAAAAATCAATCAAATCTACATAGATAGCCATACTAAAGTCAAATTACGGTGAATAATCCCGATAGCAAAATGACCACATTTCATGAGAAAAAGTTATATAGTTTTATTTGTTTTAGATCATGTTACCTGGCGAAATACAGACATTCAGCTCTAGTTTTTAAAACGGGTATAAATAAAATTAGATATGTATATGGGATATCCAATTATTCACACGTACTTTCTCGAATGATGGACGACCTAGCTACCTCTACTTTACATACTCCCTCCGTCCAAATAAATCGATTTCTGGAAGGGGGAGTTTGTAAAAAAAGAACCGATTCTTGAAAAAAAAAAAAAAAACAGAAACGTCATCTCCTTCGCATTGATGGGGCCACAAACTCTCTCTCCTCACGTTCACACCAGTCAAGCCTTATCCCTTTCAGCGGCAAATCTCTCTCATCTCTCTCTTGTTCCGCACTCCAAGCCTAATTCTCTCCCAAAATCTCTCTCTTGCCTTTAACACCAGTCAAGCCTTTATCGATGGGGCTCTCAATTCTCTCCCATCTCTCTCTTGTTCCGCACTCCTCCCAGTCCATCCCAAATCAGTTCCAGTTCACACCAGTCAAGCCTCAGTTCCAGTTCACACCAGTCCATCCCAAATCAGTTCCACAGTTCACACCAGTCAATCTTCTCCCAATCTCTCTCTTGTTCCGCACTCCTCCAGTTCACACCAGTCCGCTCTCATTCTCTCCCATCTCTCTCTTGTTCCGCACTCCTCCCAAATCAGTTCTTCACATTTTATCCCTTTCATCGATGGCTCTGTTTGTTCTTCATCGATGGATGCGAGGCTCCACCAGTCAGTCCACCACCAGGCTGCGGCCACGCAGATGTGGCGGCGGAGGGTGGGTTGTGAGCGGGCAGATTCGATGCAAGAGGCAGCTTCGGTGTGGGGAAGGATTCGGGCGCACGACGCGGATGTGACGCACGGGCGCTGTGTTACGCCGCGGCGGCGGCGGCGGAGCCTTGCGCACGCGTGTAGAAGTATATACCGGTAGTTTTTTGCTAGACCAGGGGCCCGAAAACGCCGCGGGGATATTGGATCGATACCACACCTAACACTGCAACACGCTGCATTTTTCGTCCAGGCAAAAATTCCGGAGTCGGTGTCACAGTCACCGGCAACATTTCCTATTTAAGCTAGTGTAGATGGAGCTAGCTAGCCGAGGTGGTACTAAGCTAGCTACAGTTGCCGCTACTGCTCGCTCGCTTGCTGCGTTGCGGCACGCGTGCATGCATGGGCCAAGGCCCATGGCCTGCTGCTGCTGCTGGGCTGGCTGCTAGCTAGCTTTGCTCTTTTTTTCTTTTTCTTTTTCTTTTCCTAGGGTGTTACACGGAGAGAGTATTATATAAGTATAATATAATACTCCCTCCGTTCGAAATGTTTGATGCCGTTGACTTTTTAGCACATGTTTGACCGTTCGTCTTATTCAAAAAATTTAAGTAATTATTAATTCTTTTCCTATCATTTGATTCATTGTTAAATATATTTTTATGTAGACATATAATTTTACATATCTCATAAAAGTTCTTGAATAAGACGAACGGTCAAACATGTGATAAAAAGTCAACGGCGTCAAACATTTCGAAACTGAGGGAGTAGCACATATTGTGTAGATGCGTGTGCTTTCCACACTCCACTGAACTGAGCCAACACAAGGCCACAACAACAAAACAAGCTGCGCTTATGACACCGACAGCTTTTTTGGCGCTTTCCGGCGTTCGTGATCATAAGGACGGTTTTTCCGTAGGGACGACCAGCTTTCGGTCTCCCTGCGCTTATAAATATAGCTGTATTATCTTCCATTATTACACATATAATATAGCCCTACACGCCTATTCCTCCTCTCACTATTCGATCGATATCGATATCTTAGAAACGAAAGGCCGGGCTGCCACCAGGGGCTAGCTCCGGGTCCGGGCTGGCCATCGTCGACGACGTCGTAGGATCAGGGGGAGATGACGACTAAGCTGGAGCTTATGCGGAGCAACTACTTGAAGAAGCTTCTGACGGAGATCGTGCCGGCACTGGCCGAGAACTCGCCGGAGGCGGCGCTTGTGGTGGTTTCAGACCCGCCCGTCGACGACGTCCTCACCTACGTAAGGACGTTTTTTTTTTTTTTTTGTGTTTTGGGGACGTTTTACTAGCATATGTTATTTAAACAGTTACAAAAAAAATCTAATAAATTAAGTAGATCATGATATAAGTTTAAAAACAGTGGCGGAGGCAGTTGGGTATATAACAAAATAACAAATACATAGTTTCATACACGCTAAAACACACCCTGAATGTATAATAACTAAAACAGTAGGCCCCTATAAATAGTAAATGTTTTACTTACGCGTTATATGTTCCAAAAATCTAATAGTAAAATTTTTAATATGTTAATTCTTTAAAAAAATATAACTACTCGAATGAATGATATGTACAAATAAAAGAAGGGGACATCGTCCTTAAGAAAATTACTCTATTTAATTGTTTGCTTGCTTCCGTTCAAAAAGAGAAATTCCGTTCAAAAAAAAATTGTTTGCTTGCTTCTTGGTGTCTCTGTGGAGCGGACCAGTGGCGCATGCAGGATATATATCGATGCAAAACTAAAATTCTTCCCAGCCCCGCGAAGTGAAAAAAAAAAAGAAGAACAAGAACAAGAACAAGAAGACGACGAGACGAAGAAGAAAAGAGTAATACCCAATCCAAGCAACCATGATAAAATAAGGTCACCTGTGGCTGTGGGGTGTGGTACAGCTGGAGCTTGTAACACAAGGTTGTTTAGAAAAAAAAATCATTTTACTTCCTAAATTAATTTATTGGATCTTAACCTCCCAAACTTTTTTTTAAAAAAATTGGCTCGTCTTATCCCTAAAATATTAAAATGGCTCACTTTGCTCCTTCAACAAGTTCTCTCGTCTGAGTAGTTTTTATAGAAGTTATATTCCAAGCTGAAATTTTAGATCCGCAGATGACGAACGTTAGCAAAGTTCAAAGATATTTTCAAATTTTTTAAAGATTGTTTTCTTGAAGTTTAAAATTTTGATGTTCAAAATTGGTCTTAGGTGCTTTCAGCTTTCTACATATATGAACAATAATTAATGCAAGAATATATTCAAAAAATATCTAGACTTTAGTGAAATGCATCTATTATCCTACTGAAATTTTAGTGTAAAATATGACTTATATAGAAAAAAAAAGAGAAAAGCATTGCTGCATGGGGAGTAAACCAAACCGTTTCTGTAGTTTGGGGTCGAAAATGAGAGGAAAAGAATAGTAAATGCTCTGATGAATTAGAGCGGTGGAGTAAAATGGATTTTTTTTCTTCCTTTGAAAAGAAATAAGTGTATATGCCTAGCTTCTTATATCCAATACTCAATTAGAGAAGCCACTAACCGCTTCTCGATAGATTTCTCTTTTTGTTTTCCGTATGGAGTATTTTTGAATTTAACCGTCCAACTTGGTAGTGCTAGTATTTACACAGGATTAAAACTTAAAGGAAATAAAGAAATCTACAACAATATCCAAGAAATAAAAGAATAAATTAGCTACATAGTAATACAGTTATACTTACTACACACTTGTGGGAATAATGAGGTGCAGGTTTGTATTGACGTGGCTGCGAGTGACACGGCCAGTGAGGGAGGCACCGATCAGCAACTGCGCCGCCGCAGCAACAAGCTGTCTCCATCGTCCCTCGGCTCCGTCGGGATCATGGTGGCTTCGGCAGCAATCACTGAAATCACCGGCGCCGGCACAACCACCAGCCCGGCGGTGGCTTTCTCTCTGTTTCTTGTACTTACAGTGGCCATCTCTCTGATCATGTCCAGCATTATTCGGGCATAGCCGTACATGTGTGTGTGTGCCCGTACGTGCTTAATTAGGCCATAGATAATCGCTTATGTATATATTATATATGAGTACAATCATAATATATATATATATAGTAGCTCTATTATACACCCCTCCCTTAGAATAACTATTCTACACTCCTCTTCCACCTTCCATCTGTTCGCGCCCCTCCCTCCTCCCGATCTCTCATCCTCCCCCTCCTCAATCTCTCCCTTTCTTCTTTTTTTTTTCTCTCCCTTCTCCTTCTCTCTTTTTTAAAAAAATTAAAAATAAATCGGTGAATTCAAGACTTGAACCCATGATCATGGTTCATGGCGAGCACTTATAACCAAATCACCATATGATGGTTTGTGAACAAATCAGTTCTGTACCTTTAACAATTATACCTTGTTACTATGATTTGGCAGTAACATTATCCCAGAAGGGTAGTAACATCATATGTTACTGCAAAAATGTATAGGTTGTTACTGCAAACTTTATAGGTTGTTATTGCACTTTTGGCAGTAATAATATGATGAAATTTGCAGTAACAGAGAACATGCATAGTAACAGTGGCCCTATAGTAGTAATGTTTTTTAGATCTAGAGTACTAACGTACACGTCATGTCTTATTTTTCTAACCCATTTGCATCATGGCGTTCGTAAAAAAGAATTGCTTAACGAAACTAGAACCATCATAACTATTTTTTAACGTTGTTACTGCGAAAAGTAGACGTGTTATTGCATATTGGCCATCGTGTTACTACGCTGTTCCAGTGAGACGAGGACTAAAAAAGAGGTAAATCTCAATCTTTAGAGAGCAATATCTCTCACATCATATATTGTATTTCCAATCCGTTTGCACCATGAAGTTCATAAAAAAACGCTTAACGAAACTAGATCCATCATGGCTAATTTTTGACGTTGTTACTGCGATAATGTTGTCTTGTTACTGTACGATGACCGTCCTGTTACTGCACGATTCCTGCAAGACGAGAGCAGCAAAGTGGTGGGCGGGGAGGGAGTGGTGGGCGGGTTTGACTAGCGGGAGGACGCTTTGACCGAGGTGGGAGGGGGGTTTTGGGCCCTACGGAGGGTGGGGGGGTGGGTTTGACCCATGGGATGGGGGGTGTAGAATAGATTCAATATATATATATATATATATATACACATATATGTATATATATACACATATATGTATATATATATATACATATATATGTGTATATATATACATATATGTATATATATATATAGTATCAAATAAGTTGTTTGAAATTAATTACCCTTTGGATGTATATGCATGTGTGGACAGTGGACCAACATTGATATATATAACTCAAATAAGAATCGCATACTTGCATAGCTTGAGAATATTAATTCTATGAATGATTCAATTCCTTGAGAAGATTCTCAAAATGAGAATCTGAAATATTGTCTCAAAATGAGAAAATTAACTAAAAGTTCTCACAACTACCAGTATCGTGATCTGTTGCAAAGTCCCATGGTAGAGAAAAACGGCAAAATATAATGAGATTACAACCCTCTACTGCCATGCACACTTATCTTTTATAAGTTATAAAGATTTGGAGATTTGGTTATAATAACATTGAAAAATGGAAGGATGATTTGATATCTTGATGACTTTTGTCTTGGCACTTGTTCTAATCAAACAAGCAATCGAGTTTGGTTTTTGCCAGCGTTGACGAAGCTGATGCTAGACAGCGCTAGAGGTGTATTTTAAAAATAGGGAGAAAAAAGACGTGTGGTTTTTGAATGTTGTGACGATCGAAACAAGTTCCCAACTGATCTTGGATCCTTGGCACCCTGGCGGAAGCCTTCCAAGTAATTCTTGGGAACAAACTTATCAGTAATTCTTCATGACGCCAAGCTCTCCCAAGTAAATCGTAAAGATTATGCATGGTTACTGTATATATAATCTTCACTTCAAAATTTGAGCATCCACAGTTAAATGCAGCACGATTAACATGTTGATCTCAAATCCAATTAATTAAATTAATTTGCACCTGATCGATGTATAATCTACCGTTGCCTGCACGAGTTACTGACCTTTTTAATTAATTAAAGATATGCATCTTGACTTGATATCCTTCTTCTCCAGGGTCAGGCCGCAACCGCAAGCATGCTTGGTGACGATAATTAATCAAGCATGCTTAATTACGATTGATGTTGCATGATCATTGAGAAAGCGAAAGCCTCTCAAAATACGCGTCCCAAAATTAACGTTTGCATGCACACGCGCGCCCGGTACCATACCTGTTTCTCCATCAAGGATGGATCCAGTTGTTGAGTTCGACTGTCACTAAAGAAAAATAAATAAATTACAATTGGTGATGTCACAATGCCCCGAATATTTGTTTTACCCTTTCTTTGAGGTTTATTGAAATTACTACTGTCGATGTCGACCATATATCGTGTGCGTGGCAAACCGATTCGCACCTAGCTAGTGCCCTCGAAATGATAGGTTATAGGATGATGATATGAATTTTAGAAGTTGTTATGCATTAGTGGTGATTTTTTTAATTTATAAAATATTAGTGTTATTTCTGTTACAGAAAGTGCCAAGTTCTAATGAACAAAAAAAAGAGAATAATTTGCTGAAAATCTAGAGAAATTTGGTTCGTCTCAAAAGGAGCTTAAATGAATTTTATATGGATTTTACAATTTACTCAATTTTTCAGTTAAACAACAGGTATTCCATATGCATTTTCCAGATTTAAATATATGGGGTCCACTGGTCAGTCTCATGCCAATATGCTAAAAGGCCCATGGGGTTTGTGAAATAGGACACCAGGTCCCCAGCACGTGATGATAGGAATATTCTTTAAGAGTCTACAAATGTTATGGTATTTACAATTAGATCCTGGTCCTACATGTCAGTTCCTGTGGTTTTACAGTATGGACCCTACATTTTTTTATTATTATACGACAAAGTCCTCGTCTTCAACCTCCAACAGCCCAATGGACTAGGAGGCGCGGCCGTGGCTTGGGCGAGCTCGCCGGTGGCGAACGGCGTGGCCAAAAGAAAAAAATGTGTGCATGCTTCTTGCGCACCAGTAGGTGGTCTAAATGCGGCCGATGGTGACTCCAGTAAATATGTAGGGGTGGCTCAAGTGGTGGTGAGGCTCGGCATGCTTGTGAATGTTGAGCTCCGATTCGATTTAGGGAAGTACTCCGTACAATGCATGAATGTGTGTTATAGGGGTTCTTGGATGCTCACCAAGGTTGGCGCGAGGTCCGGAAAGGTCTGGACGGCTACTGCTGCTGTTGGAACGTCCCGGCGGCATCGTGGACTCCGGGTGGATGTCGACGGCGTGCTACCGACAACGAGCTGGAAATACAACATGTCCAGTGTGTCAGTGTGGTCCTTGGGAGACTAAGGTTGCGACGAATCGTTTTGCAACTCACCGGAGGGAGAGTAATCGACGGCGAGGTCCCTCGGTTGGAGTCGAGGAAGACGAAGGCCGACCTCACTCTCCTTAGTGCACCGATCTATTCTCTTCTTGGGGAGAATTGAATAGGGTATCATGGTGATGGTGTTGGCGAGACAGCTCGGCCGGATCTGCACCGTGGTGGCCGGAACGCGAGGACGACGCCGGCGGCTGCGCTCGGTGCGCGCCGTGGAGCTCCGATGGCGCGGTCGCGTTCCCGGTGAATGGATATGTGTATTGGCACAAGATTAGATGGAATGGAATGGGCATGGAGAGGAGATAATGGAACGCAAGAGAAGTAGGGATGACCACGGCTCGTCGGCGGTTGAGACACCGTTGTCATCTTCACGGCCGATGACGGAGAAGAGGAGGTGGAGGATGGCTGTAATGGCTGTTTGCTCAGCTTCGCCGTAATGTGGGAGGAGAGGCGACGCTGCGAAGGTACATGTGTCCAACTGTCGGTATATGTGTAGCAAAACCGGTTAGAATACGCAAAAGCTGCAATGGGATTTGGGGATAGACGGAAAACGCATGGAAGTAATTGATATATCCCCTCATGTATAGCCCAAGAAAGTTCAAAAGAAAATGTATGCCCAACAGCTCATTAAAGCATAACAGTCCAGTAAACCAAGTTCATATAGAGCCCAATTATTGGTGGATTAAGTACACTTTAGGTCCCACAGTTTATCACCGAATATAAATTTATTCCTGAATTGCAAAACTGGATACAATGTATCTCCAACTTAAAAAACAGTGCAAACGAGATCCTTTAGTAGTATTGTCCTCGGTTTTGGCTGATATGGTATCTATATGGATCCTTTGATTAGGTGTTCGTCTCACGTGGCATTGACGTGGTGCTTACGTGTCAGTTTGATCTGAAAATAAATAAAAGGAACAAAATTGAAAACTAAAAAGTTAAAACAGTATAGCGGGACCCATATATTAGTCAAACAAGAAGATAAAAAAATAGTGGTAGTGGGACCGATATGTTAGTGGGTACCACCGGAAAAAAACTATGTTAAAAGATCATCAAAATCAATTTTAAAATCAAATTTTAAAATTCAAATTTTGGTTTTGACTTATAAAACAAAATTATGAATCTATATATAGTAGGATGTGTCACATCCTATTCTATTCTAGATTCAACTAGTATGGTGACCCTCGTAGATTATACGGTTAGTATCGTTATAATTTTTCTCATATAATAGCTTAAATATTTTCATATTTTATTATTAAAATATATTTAAAATAGCAACAAAATTTTGAATTTTGTATTATATTGATAGTTACTAATTATTCTCTGTTTCAAATTTTACTAATTTCTAAATTGTATTCCTATATGGACTCTAGACTCTTTTCTCCATCTTGCTTATATTTTAAATTTTGAATTTTAGTTATTTATAAGTTGTATTTCTATATGGACTCTTAATTCTACTTTTATTTTTTCGATTTTTTTAATTCTTTTTCTCAGTTAGTTCTAAATTTCTATATGAACCCTATATTCTTCTTCCAATATTCTAATAATTTAATTCCGAAATAAATTATGTTCTTATATGGACTCTAGACTATTCTCCCAATATTTCTTATTTTTAATTTCGAGTTTTTCTCTCCATCTTGCTTATTTTTTAAAATTTGAATTTTAGTTATTTATAAATTGTATTTCTATATGGACTCT